GGAGCCTGTGCAGGTTGACCCCATCACCCTGGAGCCTGAAAAAGGCTGACCCCATCACCCTGGAGCCTGTAAAGGCTGACCCCATCACCCTGGAGCCTGTAAAGGCTGACCCCATCACCCTGGAGCCTGTACAGGCTGACCCCATCACCCTGGAGCCTGTACAGGCTGACCCCATCACCCTGGAACCTGTACAGGCTGACCCCATCACCCTGGAGCCTGTACAGGCTGACCCCATCACCCTGGAGCCTGTACAGGCTGACCCCATCACCCTGGAGCCTGTACTGGCTGACCCCATCACCCTGGAGCCTGTGCAGGTTGACCCCATCACCCTGGAGCCTGTGCAAGTTGACCCCATCACCCTGGAGCCTGTGCAGGTTGACCCCATCACCCTGGAGCCTGTGCAGGTTGACCCCATCACCCTGGAGCCTGTGTAGGTTGACCCCATCACCCTGGAGCCTGTACAGGCTGACCCCATCACCCTGGAGCCTGTACAGGCTGACCCCATCACCCTGGAGCCTGTACAGGCTGACCCCATCACCCTGGAGCCGGTACAGGCTGACTCCCCCATCCCGTAGCCTGTTTGATACTTGGTTGATGGGGTTCTGGGAGTTCTTCTACTCCCCAAGCTCAGCCCGAGGCCAGGCTTGACTTGTGAGAGTTTGGTCCACCAGGCTGTTGCTTGGAGCGGCCCGCAGGCCCACATACCCACCACAGCCCGGTTGGTCCGGCACTCCTTGGAGAAAATGATGTAGTTTTCTCTTGAAGATTGTCACGGTTGTTCCGGCAATATTTCTTATGTTCGCTGGGAGGACGTTGAACAACCGTGGACCTCTGATGTTTATTCAGTGTTCTCTGATTGTGCCTATGGCCTGTACACGCTACGATTCTTGATTGACTCCTATCAGATGATTGACAGGTGAGAGGCGGGACCAACGAGCCAGTGCTCAACCCCCGCAAGCAGAACTAAGTATAGGCTGACCTCCCATTCTTGAACCTATCTTTCCTCTCAAATCTGAACTGATAACTTTTGGGTATCCAAAGCTAACAGTGACGTACAGTGTTCCAGAGTGTACATATTCTTGCAAGGTGTACACTGTCTTACAGGGCAACCCATCTTGAGGTTATCTTGAGTTGATTTCGGTGCTTAGCGTCCCTGCGGCCCGGTCCTCGACCAGACCTCCTTTTTTTGTTACACATCCCCAGGAAGCAGCCCGTAGCAGCTGTCTAACTCCCAGGTACCTATTTACTGGGGAGTAAGTAGGTACAAACAGGAAACAGGAAACAAACTCTGCCCATTTGTTTCTCCCTTTACCAGGAATCAAATCTGGAACATTAGGACTACGATTCCCGAGCGCTGTCCACTCAGCCGTTAGGTCCCCCCCCCGTGTCATTGTTCGAGAACTAAACACAAAACGTTCAGAAGCAACGCACATCAATTAGCGATAATATCTGTTGATGATAATTCTCAAGTTGGAGGGAGACTCTACGCCAGCGACAAACATTCAGGAATTTGACGAAAGACTTGATGAGTAATATCCTGGCACTTAATTGTCACACTTCAGGAGGTTTGTGCCGGACCAACCGGGCTGTGGTGGGTATGTGGGCCTGCGGGCCGCTCCAAGCAACAGCCTAGTGGACCAAACTCTCACAAGTCAAGCCTGGCCTCGGGCCGGGCTTGGGGAGTAGAACAACTCCCAGAACCCCATCAAGCAGGTATCTGTGCCTCTTTTTTCCATCA